CACACACACACACACACACACACACACACACACACACACACACACACCAGGGGTTATTATATTCATAGTTTAGGTTACACTTTCATTTTATCTTTGTTATTGTGCAGCCGTCTGGGGCCAGGCAATGAAACACAACGAGCTAAACAAGCTTTGAAAATATTGGATCAGAAGCTATTAAATATATCCAAGTTGGGCTGAGAATCTTTCCCTCTCGAGACGATTGAATACGTATCTCGATACATTCTGAGATACAATAAGAAAACATACAGAAGCTTTGAAGTATTAGATGAGATGTCAATAAAAATGGCACCATTTTATAATTGATTAAGCTTTTAGAAGTTTGTAAATCTCTCATTTATCGACAGTATGAAAAGCTTTGAAGTGTTTTTATGGCGAGTGAGTGAACACCGGGATACGTGAGTCCATACAATATTCATATTAATATTCCTTTATTAATGTTATCAGTTACTGTTCTAACATCTTGTTTTCATTAGTTTGTAGTCGTCGTTTTATTGTTTCTATTTGTGTTTTTATTTCTTTAAAGCCGAACCAGGAAAATGAGCTACAACAAGAAGTCACTTTATTTAAAGTTAACTCTGCCAACATGTCAAATAAACCTAATTAAATTAAATTAAAAATAAGCTATTTAACTGCTCTTCTGCTCCAGAACACAAACTCAGATGCGAGTCTCTGCGAGGTCAAACACAACAAACAGTAAAACTAGTCCGCAGAGGCCGAGCGCTCGCTTATGTTCTGGAATTGTACAAAGATAAGGATTTATTGGGTTAAAACGTTAATGCTGTCGATCAACACGAGATCCTGAACACCCGCCCTGTGGTGCATGCTGGGACTGGAAGATACAACCAGATGAATAACTAATTATAATACATTTGTATGAATATAGACGTGTTTCTACTTACTGTTCACTTTATTCTTATTGTTTCCATAACCTCCTGTATTGTCTGTGTTCTGTTCAAAGCTTTGCAAAAACTCAATAAAGAACAAAGTGAAAGAAACAACAATGTAGTCCGTAGAATGTATGTAAACTTTTGTTTTTCTCATTTCATCATAAAGTCTCCGCCCCTCAACTTCTCCTTTAATACCTTCCTGACACTGTGCTGTTCTGCTGTCTTCTCATGATGAAATATAGGAACTTTAATCGGTTTCTTTATTAATTGAAGAGACGTTCCCTCTCAGCAGCAAAGAACAAGACGACATTGAATAACCTTGAGCTCCTGATGAAGGTCTCATACCTGTAAATACTCCTCAAATTCTTCCCTTTTGGATGCGAGAAAATCATAATTCTTTGGTCCAATAATTCTTTTGGATGGAAGCTGAGCGTCTGCAAACGTGCCTGAAAAAATAAATAAATATATAAACAACGTTAGATCAGTATTTTACACAAGTTAATATTCTCATTAGAATATGCAAAATAATTTTACCTTTAAGTGAGTTTTTATTATCATAATTAATGTATTCTTTGTGCACATTGGACTACTGTCTATTCTATATTCATTATCTTCAGAATAGACAATAGTGCCATCGTGTGTCCGAACACTAAAGAGAGTACGATAAGAAACGTATCTCAGGAACTCACAACAAGTTGAATATCAAAGATATTTCATCTGGAAGACATTTTATGAACACAATGTCAGCGTGTTCCCTCCTTTAAAAGTGATGAAAGTGATGAAAGTGTGATCTTTCATGTGAGTTACACTCTGAGATAATTCCCCAGAACAACGTCCGTACCAGAGTTCAGACCTGTCAGAGGAAATGTTGAGGCCTTTTCCCTCGTGGTACTGAATGTTGTCTTCGGGTGAAATAAAGTTGCTAAATGTTACCGTGGAACTCGGTGAGTTTGGATTCCAGTACGTAGAACTCCAGGTATCTTCTGTACACCGACAACTTCTCAGTTTCATGGCCAACTGTGAGAAGAAGAAGAAGAAGAAGAACAGAGGACATCATGTGTGACGTGAAGGAAAGCTCGATGATTAAACAGACTCCAGTTTCACAGCGACGGGCTTACACTGGTTTCTGTTGAAGTCATTTGATTCTTAAATAAACAGTTCGGATTACTTGTTTGCGGGACGGTACTTGTCGGCTCACCTTCCTTCCGGTCTTTGCGCTCCACGTCGATGCAGAAGACGGGGATCTTCTCCCGCTTGGCGTCGTCGTCGTAGACGTCGATGTACGGGATGACGATGCTCCAGGCCGACAGGTTCCTCAGGGAGCCCGGCGTGCCGGCCGGCTCGGCGGGGGAGTCGTCCTCCACCACGACGGTCGCCTCCTCCACCTGCAGGAGGAGACGAGTAACAAGGAAGAAGTTCAACGTCTGGTTTTAACTTCCTGCTGAAGTGACGTTAGCATGAACATAACGTAAATTAAATGTAATCATCTAATCACAGGCACAGAATAATCTTAATGTCCGAGACGTTTATGAGGAGAGAAATGATGTTTCTAAAGTTGAATACAACAAGTAGTAAAGCTGTTCCTCTGTCATCATCTAGAGTAGCTCTGGTGATCATTTAGATATAATGTATGTGTGGACGATCAGGGGGGACAGATAGATGGATGAGAGCGCAGAGAGAGTCAGTGAGAGTGAAAAAGACGTTAAACTCTAAATTTGTAACACCTGTAAGTCTGAAATAAGCCGTGAAGGTTTTATCTCTTTAAATGCAGAAGATGATAGAATGCTTTCTAACATGTTTAGAAATACGAGCACAACAACGCGAGTTAACTCTGCAGACAACACGACATGAACGGATCTAACGTTTCGACGCGTGAGAAAGTCATTTATCGCCGTTCTGTTTGTTGTCACAGTTCCTCGTCCTCCTGAAACACTCACCAGGTCGTCGTCGTAGTCGTTCATGGCGCTGGGCGGCAGCACGGAGCCCTCCATGGTCGTGCTCTTGAACACGCCTTTGATTCTACTGCCGATCCTGCTGATGCCGAACGACTCGCCTCGCTTCGACAAGTTTCTACAGTGAGCAGAGGAAAAGAAAGGCTGACACGTGGAAAGCATCTAACCTGGATTCAATAATACAACACAACAACGTAAATCACACCCCTCTCTCTCTCTCTCTCTCTCTCTCTCCGTTAACCGACTCGGTCATGCAGCAGACATGCAGAGCAGCTACAAGCCTCCTTCATTACATCATCAGAGACCGTTTAGGTCAAAGTGCTTCTTCACAGTATTCAGTGACTTCTTCTTTCACGGCTCCATCGTCTCAAACATGAGGTTAAAATTCAAAGTGCAAGCGTCAGCACAACAAACACAAAGGCCCAGCAGAGGCTCCTGAAGTGAAGCTTTGTTAGAGCAGAGTTTCTCAGGTTCTCAGCATCGGCGTGCGTCATCAACACGCTGCACTGTTGCGTGTTTGCATCCAGCATCTGTCAGGCGACATGCCGAAGACCTACTCACCTGCTGTCTTCCAAACTGAAGCTATTTCTGGAATGAGATGCACAGATGCAGCTAAAGCTTACTGCGGTGTATTCAGAGGGCCGCTCTCACCACCAGATACAGACGCCGTGTAAAAACACCTTCAACACTCTGAAGCTCTCTAATCAGCTGTTACTAGAACAATAACAATCAAATGACTCAGTGGAATGAGCCAGTTTAACTCACTGTTCCAATACTTGCATACGATTAGTTTCTATAAGGAATAAACTCCGTGATCGGTGTTTCCATTAGCACTTTGTCTCAGTTTTCACTCTGTTTGCTGCTGTTGCCCCCTGAATGATACCTCATCACAAACCTGTTGATTCTTGAGTTCCTCGTTGGAGACTCTGCTCCTCTCAGCAGGTGTCTGAAGTACTGAACAACACACACACACACACATGTACAAGTTACAGCTAATCAATGACTTGAACTCTCAGTTTAAACCATTAAATGAACTATATTCATATTCACAATAAAAACTACTGGTATAAGACTTATTCAGATCCTTCGCTCAAGTAGAAGTTTAAAACTCTCACTGTCAGACCTGCTGCAGTAACATGACAGGTTTTCTCTGGTGCTTTGAAGCACTACTACTTTAGTCCACAGGGGGCGACAGAACCAACACTCAATTAAAGTTCCTCGTAGTAGCTTTAAGTAAAAATAAAGTGTGCTTTCAGTATCAGAAGCCCGTCGCATTATTATGTTTCATATCGTTTCTGGAGCATTAATATATAAACTTTGATAATAAATGCAAGATATCTTATAATATGATCGTATGCTTTGTTAGTAGGAATCTCAATCTGAAAAGGTAACAAGTAACTTAAGCTGTAGGATTATAACTGTGTTGTAGAAGTATAATCTAACATTGAGTACTAGTACCTTGAGCAAATACAAGTAACTGTACTTTGCGACGTTGAAACAGACAAATACTGAGAGTCTATATTTAGAGTTTGTGAGCAGGTGCAGTGAGATGGTCGTTGAGGCGTTACTTCGTCGCTGTGACAGAACATCGGGGTGAAGACTCTCTCCAGCAGAGACAGGACGTGTTCATACGCCTCGAACAGGCAGTGCATCGTCTGCAGCTTCACCACGCCGCCGTACGGACCTTCAGCGACTGAGAGGCACAAATACATTCGGAGTGTTTTAGAGAGCAACTCCACGACAGGCTGCAAAAGTAGGACACATGTGACATCACTGCAGCAGAGTGAGACGTTAAACCAAGTTAGCGAAAAACAGGACACACGGCTCTTCCTGTGAGACCAAAGAATAGTTTATGTACGGACTGAAACGCCTATTCTGATGAATTATGGGAGATGTTGAGTGTTTAAAGGAGGACTTTCAGTTCCTAGTACGGACCAAGCTCCAAAAACACTAGCTCCTACATTTCCCATGATGCAACTCTTCACAAACCGTTTGATTGCAGCGGTACATATGTCAATGATAATAACTTTAAATGTTTCCTCCTCTTCCAGCTGCAGTCACGTTGCTCGTGAACTCTCGTCCTCTCCGCTCTGACAGTCTTACACGCCTGCGTCCTTCAAGCTTTTATTCTTTACATCTCTGCACGAGAACAGAGTCCGGCAAAGAAAACGAGCCGAGTGTCTCAAACTGTAGTCCAAACGTCCACACAGACTCAGGTAGCCCGAGTAGTATCCTGTCTCATATGTCTCGCTACCCAATTCTGAATACCCAAACAGAAATATATATATATATATATATATATATATATATTGTGTTGTTGTATTTGTAATTACAGTAGAATATTAGTCTGTGTGTGGGAGTGTGACGGCAGCCTTCTCACTGTTCCTGATCTCCTCCACGATGAAGCGGTCGAAGCTGATCTTGTCGATGCTCTCGTCGAGGCAGTACGTCTCGTAGATGTGCAGCACCTCGCCGTGCAGCCGCTGCAGCTCAGAGTCGCTCAGATCCGGAATCAGGATCTTATCATTGAACTCCTCTGGAGGAAAACAACACACAAACGGATATATATATATATACACACACACACACACACACACACACACACACACACATATATATATATATATGTACTGTATATATATATACTGTATATATATACATACATACATACATATACTGTGTATATATACTGTATATATATATATCTATGTCTCAGGGGAGAAACATCTGCTCCCACATTGCTGGTAAGACGGCTGCAGGTTTGCGTGTCTTAGTTGTTCTGAGGTAGTTCTGCGGTTCCTTACCCACAGTGAGGCAGAACTGCAGCACGTGAACGGCTCCTTCCTGCTTCAGGAAGTTCATGAAGCGAAAGAGGAGATCCTGCTGCTCCCGGATCTCCTTCAGGTCCAACTTCAGCACCTGAAGACGGACACAGTCCAGTTAGTTTAGAGAATGCTCAATGAAGAGAGAGAGAGAGAGAGAGAGAGAGAGAGAGAGAGAGAGAGAGAGAGAGAGTTAAATACAAGATGAGAAGATCTTCTTACTCTTCCTCGCCCTCCCCTTCTTCCTCCTCCTCTTCCTCCCCCTCTTCCTCCTCCTCTTCTTACTCTTCCTCCCCCTCCCCTTCTTCCTCCCCCTCCTCCTCTTCCTCCCCCTCCCCTTCTTCCCCCTCCTCCTCTTCCTCCTCTCCCCCTCTCTTCTCCTCCCCCTCCTCTCGATCAGCGTGCTCGCCGTCTCTCTGGGCGAGTTACTCACCGACGGCTTCTTGTTGCCGACGTCGGCGTATTTCTGTAAAAAGGGCACGAGGACAGACGGAGGATCGATCGCTGCTTCAGGCTGGAGACACAGAAGACGTTCAGATAAAGCAGCAGAAGAACGGTTCCATGTTTAAGGAATCGGGATTCATGAGATGTTCTGTGAACTTACTGGAGTGTCATCAACAAATATCAGCACCATGAGGTTCACAGTGTCCTGAAAAACAAGAGAAACATCACGTTGTCTTAATGTCCTAATGTCCTGAAAACAAGAGAAACATCACGTTGTCTTAATGTCCTAATGTCCTGAAAACAAGAGAAACATCACGTTGTCTTAATGTCCTGAAAACAAGAGAAACATCATGTTGTCTTAATGTCCTGAAAACAAGAGAAACATCACGTTGTCTTAATGTCCTGAAAACAAGAGAAACATCACGTTGTCTTAATGTCCTGAAAACAAGAGAAACATCACGTTGTCTTAAGACATGTCCACACTACTCTGCTTACGTATGGAAACACATGATGTTTTGCTACGTTTACACTGAGCGGCCACACTACGCCGGAGTTTTGGAGCACCCTAAGCGAAGGAGTTTGAAAACACTCCCGAGGTTGGAGGAGTTTAAAAACTCCGGGGTTGCGTTTGCGTGTGGACGGTCGGAAACAGATGTTTAGGAAAAATGACGCCCACACCCGTGTTTGCGACTTGATTGGTTCTTAGCAGCCATGACGTCTCCTTCCCTGATTCGTCACACTCATGTGACCCGTACCCGGAAGAAAACAAACTGGGCTACCAGTGATTCATTTCTACATGGATAACGAATTCCAAGCGTTGCTTGCTTTGTTGTCTGTACTAGCAGCTGTTGTGCAGTAAAAGTCTGCATTTCTGGGGAGGAAGCAGCTGTTATTGGAGCGATTAGCGAGCGGCGTCATCAGCCCTATGGAGCGGTCAAGCCACAGTTAGCGGTAAATGCTATTCAGAGCTATGAGTGAGAACAGACAACAACACGGAGGAAACGAGTGAGAGACGTGTGTTGACCACATTTATGACCCATAATCGAGTAAACGTTTACGTGTAAGTGTTGATCTTAAAGTAAATTTGATGTGAGAGAGAGATAGAGACCCGCAGCGCTGTAACTACGTCTGAAAAATAAAACTTCTAAAACGTTCCATGAACTGTCTGTTTGAGTTTATAGAGGAATATTTTAGAGGACGATCTTAAGTATCAAATACAACCTTTCATTATTAAAGAGTACTTTATTACTCTGTCGTATTTTTTTTAACTAAGCAACCAATCTACTTCCTGTTTACACCGTCACGCGCATGCCCAGTGTACGTTAATGGTCACGTGGTGTCCGTCTTCAAAGGTTGCCGTGTGGATGCAGATCAATTCGAAAACGATGCTGAAACGCCCGTGTGGACGGAGATCGTTTCTATTTGACAAATCTGCTTCCTAATAGAAACGGAGTAGTATGGATGTAGTATTAATGTCTTCATGTCCTCATTAAGTTGAAATTGAATATTGTAAAACCTTCAGTGTTTGCCATAAACGATGAGTTGTGTTTTATTATTGACATGTGTTATTAAATCGATATATTCGGTGGAAACTTAAACAAAACTCTTTTCTTCAAATTAAATTACTTCTTAAACACATTTTTACAGACTTTCTGTGACGTCATATTTCTAGTGCTTTAATTTATATATTTATTTTGTATTTATTTGTTTGTATTGTTTCATATATTGTATTGTTTTATCAGTGTTCAAATGTTCCCTTTGTTTGTTGTTTTCTTGTGTTTCTGTTATATTCTCCTGCTTCTGTCCGTCAAAGCCTGTTTGTAAACTCACTGTAAATAAATGAAGTGAATAAATAAAGTGAATAAATGAAGTGAATAACTTATTAGCTGCTGCTCTACTTACAGGGTTGGCCATGAAGTCCATGGTGGGTAACATGACGGATCCGGCCATCACCTCCCTCAGCAGCAGAGCCAGAGATCTGAGCAGAGACCACAGCTACAACTTTAATACACTAATATTCATATTATTATATACATATATATGTTATATATATATATTATATCGTTCACTAACAGACACATATTTACATACCAACAGTTCACTAAAGTAAGTGATTCAAGTTTATTATACACGCAGTTTAAAATGTTGCTTCCCCCCCGACTCTTCCTCAACCTTATCCTCCCCCTCCTCTTCCTCAGTGATTAGAGACAAACATTGATGTTGATGCATTGGTCCTGTTAGTGCAGGAACACAGGAGAGCAGCATGTATTTAACAATAAGAACTAAACAAGAGAAAAAGGCTCAATCTGGTGTCAAATATTAAAAAGTGAAATGATGAAGACAGGGTTCTAGATTAACGTAGAACCTTGTGGTTTTAATGTAGTTTCAGTAGAACGTCTTAGTCCTTGAGGTTCTGAGTGTCTGTGTTTAGGCTCCACAGATTATTACAGACTTGTTCTAGACTCAACTTCAAACATTCTAGAGATGTGACCCAGTTCAGTCTCTGAGGTTCTGGTCGGCCTACCTGCAGTCTGTGGCTTTGGGCGGCATGACGTAAGGAAACAGCATCTCAGTCAGCTTCCTCAGGTACAGCAGCTCGTCTTTACGGCTCCGCAGAGCGATGTGGAGGTCAGAGCCGTATTCATCCAGAGACGCCTGCTGTAGACCCTCCACACCCTTCACTGCACACACACACACACACACACACACACACACACACACACACGAGGTTACCTTCCACAAACCAGCATCATCCACCATGAGATTTGGATTTACAACACCAGAAATGTACGCGTTTAATTTCATATAAGTGGCTCCTGGCAGTGTAGCTTTAAGTTGCTTGAATGAATGTAAATTATTATACATTTATTTTACTTCATAATTTATTCCTAATTGGTTCATTGTATTACGATGTTTTGCTTTGTTATTGCTGTTGTTCCTGGTTTTGATGTCTGTGTGAGGATGTGTACGTTCTGTAGAATGACAATGAATGAAAGAATAAATACATAAATAAAAGAAGCAGCAACATGTAAGTGAAGACGGTGACGATGTTGACTCGTACGGGAGGTTCGTACCTTTTTCTCGAGCTTTCACAATAATTTCAATGTGCTTCATCACAGCTTTCATCACTTTGTCTGCAAACACAGCCGGAACATCAACCTGCAGCATCAGTGAAAGACGACGCATTAAAAGACTCAATCATATTATAGTATTAGAACATAATCGAGCATGAGTCCTCCTCCTTGTGTCTCTAAACACACGACTAACCTTCTGAGCCCGGCGGACGAGCACCGACGTGAAGAAGCGAAAAGTCATCCTTAGTTCGTCCACACACGCCTCGTCGTCTGTGATGTCCCTAAAAACCAGAGGCGGAAGTTCAGAAAAACTTCTAACATATAAACTATCAAGAGCACTTTGTTGATGTTCCCTCTCACCTGTACCAGGGGTACACGAAGTTCTCCAGAACCAACTCAAACACCTGCAGGCAGAAAACTTAACCGATGAAATTTACATTCATTCAACAGCTTTACAGACAAACGTGTTTCTCAGTTTTACTCTCAGATAATTAACAGTTCATTTGAGGATACAAGCGTTGACATTGAGGTACCTCTGCTACTGAAGCGTCCACTTTTGAGTGAACCTTCAGGTCCAACCACGGCTGATAGTTCTCAAGGAGCAGCGTTGGCCTGCAAAGAACCAAACGTGAGTTTATTATCAGTGTGACCATCTTTACAAACACATCTCTGCTCACCACACTTCGATGATTAATGCAGTATGTTGTTGTTGTTGTTGTTGTTGTTTGGGTGTGGAGAGATATAATGTTGTGGGTCTTAAGATAAGCGTGAGGCGTGTTCGTCTGCGTCGTGTGTTCGTCTGCGTTGCGTGACGTGTGAACGTACCGGTGACGGCTGCACTTGACCTTCCCGCACACGGCACAGCTGTGGCCCAGAGGAAACAGCTCCTGCTCCCGCCGCTGATGGAGGAAAACAAGAAAACAGTTTTATCACGAGAGCTGCAACGAGGAGTCGACTAATCAATCAAGAGAAAAATAATCAGTCATCGATTTATCATTCAAGTAAGAGAATATTTTCAACTTCTCAGATACAAAGATTTTCTTGCTTTTTATCTGTTTTATATCAGATTAAAGTGAAGATCTTTGGGATTTGGACATTTTAAAGACCAAGCAATTCATCGAGAAAAGAATCATTAGTTGCCGGTTTATATGTTACACACGATATACAATGGAGGAAAACATCTCTGAGTAATGTGTTCACATTAGTGGTGTAAAGGACCGTAGTGGCTCCGTACTGACCCCCCTCACGTTTTAACGTTAACCATCAGAATGTAAATAAAGTTTTATCGTTAACCATCAGAGTGTAAATAAAGTGTTACTGACTCAGTATAACATGTGTTTCTGATCTCTGATCATGTTTCATCATAAACAACCAATCAGTGTTTAAAGCAACAGGAGAGCTAGTAACGTTAGCAGCACCGCTAACGGCTAACCAACGGGAGGAGAGCTAGTAACGTTAGCAGCACCGCTAACGGCTAACCAACAGGAGGAGAGCTAGTAACGTTAGCAGCACCGCTAACGGCTAACCAACAGGAGGAGAGCTAGTAACGTTAGCAGCACCGCTAACGGCTAACCAACAGGAGGTTCACTTCAGGTATATCATGATGCCTTCAGGCTCTGCTCAGTGAACATGAGTACTGGCTGAAGGTACATTATAACCTTATCATGATGTGTTCACTGTCATCTGTAAAATGTAGTTTTGGTGATAAACTTGAATAAATCCAGTAGTTTGAAGGAGATGTTTTCACATGAATATAAATAGATATTCGAGATGAATGAGCTGTTTAACTTCCTAACACGAGCTCTACGCACATTATTATACTTCATTAAACATAATAATGACTAGATTTATTAAATGATTATCATACAGACTTACTTTGCTCCTCGGCTTCACGCTGAAGAGGACATTGGGTAGGAGGGTCTCCGGTCCGAGGGAGCAATAGAAAGTAGTGACGCCAGCCAGGAAGGACCAGAAGACCATCAGGATGTGGAGATACCTGGAGGCACCGACACATCTTCAGATGTACACAACTGAAAAACTTTCAATTTAACATTTTATACGACGGAGAGAAGCAGGAACCTGAGAATGAGCAGAAATTTATTTCACTATTTTGGATCAAAACATGATTTGAATTGTTTTTTAAGAACAGTTACAGATTATATTTCTGTCCATCATCTCAGTGTTTCATTTGAGTTATTAAGAGATCAGATAATATGAAGAGGAGGAGGGAGAGGAGGAGGAGGCCACCACACATGTCCAATAAAAGTGATTTTGTGTGTGTGTGTGTGTGTGTGTGTGTGTGTGTGTGTGTGTGAGACCTGTTGAGCAGCAGAGTCATCGTCACCAGAGACAGCAGCAGGAAGCAGAAGACCGGATACTGACGTCCAGCTTCTCTCATGACGTCGATCTTCAGCCGTCGCGTCACGTTCTCCACAAACGTTAAAACACCGGCCATCCTTCTTCAGGGGACCTGGTGACAGTTACACAGTTGTTATTATTATTATAGCGTTAAAGTCGAAATTAATACACATTTCATACAGTCAACGTAGTTTACTGTAAGTAAGTTAACACTAATAAAAATGGAGGTTCGTGGCTGTTTTAATTAACGATAAAACAAACTGTGAAACTGAGATTTTAAACTACTGCCAACAATAACTAGCTAGCTTAGCTAATGCTAGCGTTGGCATTAGCTAGCTATAGCTATAGCTATATAGATCAATATCTAAATTTATATATATATATATATATATATATATGTATATATTTGTATATGTATATGTATATCCCAATTACAGCCTCCAGTGGTGGAAACCTTTACATTTATATTGAGAAACAGTTTATCTACACAAACCACACGATCACTACATAAATCAAAATGTAATTGTATTTAAATAGTAAATTAGTCATTGGATATATATTTATTTGTATTTCCGGTCACTTTTAACGCGCTGGATCGCGCTAACGGAAATGACGTTGTAGTTGTTAGCTAAGCTACGTTAGCTAGCTCAGCTAACGCTAGCGTTGACGGTTGACGTTCGGTTTTAAAATACTTACAGCGACGCTAGTATCGGAGCAGCTCTTCATATAAAACAACACATCCTGTCCACAGTAGTCTTCGGCTGTTGGCCAGACAATATTCCCAGACTAAAGTTTATAAAGTTGTTACTTCATGTTTTCCTTGTTTTTTTTTTTTGAGTCCCGAAAGACTTCCCCGAGATATGGAATGTTTTCTAATCCGTCAGAAGGGTTGCCAGATCCGTGTGACATGCACGTAAATTAAACCGTGATTTATTATTCAATTTAAAAAATAAAATAAAAATCCCCACACACTTCATTTCTTTCTTAATAATAAAACAAAACAAATCAGAAAATTAGCATTCATATATGGTCAAATGTTGTCCCAGCATAAATACACATCTATCCTTGACAAAGATAAATGTATAATAAAAATAAATAAATACAAACATATGGGGGGGGGACATGTACAACTACAAAGGATGCTTACATTTTATTTCCCAATCACAACACGTAGTAAAAAAAGAATGATAATTATGATCATTATTAAATAAATATATCACAAGACAAAAAATGAAATGAAGCCAAAACAAGGTAAATATTAAAACAGAATATAACAATAATAGTAAGATGATAAAAGTGGTAAAACAAATGCATTTTATTGAGGTGTATACATACATACTTACACACAAATCTATGTACTTAGTGTATTATGTTTATTCTGCTTTTTTAGTATGTCCCCCTCTGTTTTGCTTTCTGTTAAAATGCCATATATTTTGTCTGTAATAAATATAAATTATTTTGTTTGTAAAGAAAGTGTAACCTATTACTTGGACATTTTAATTTGCCTCAAGAGATTTAAACGCTCCAAAAGTGTATTTTAGCAAACGGACATGGCAACCCTGAAACCAAAACAACGTCATTTCCGTTAGAGCGTTCCAGCGCGTCAGAAGTGACCCGAAATACAAATAAATATTTATCTAATGACTTATTTACTATTGTAACCAAGTGGAACTGACGGGGTGCACCTCATTACTGGCGGACCAGTAATGAGGTGCACGGGCCTGATTAGGTGAAAAGATGCACCTGCTGGCAAATCGCGGCCGTTGTCTTTCTCTCCGCGGTCACGAGCGGCTGTGCTGAATCTGCTCTGTGTCCGCCGCCACGAGCGGGGGTGCCGAGTCCAACTACTTGCTCTCCCACAACAAGCACAGACGTAGCGTGAGGCCGCATGAGAAGGTGCGTCGGTGGCGCAGTGTCTGGGAGGCATCCGTTACAGAGGGGATAGCGTGTGTTTGGGGGATGGCTGACTCGGGTGCTGGGGGACTGGGTACAGTTCAGAAAGATGTAATGTTGTATTTGTGTTATTTTAGAGCGTCCTGAGCAGCTTCCAATGGTAGCTGGGGGGGAGTCCAGGTGGGGGTGGTTGGGTTGCTGAACATTCGGTGGGTTGAATTACAATCTTTTTGGGTTTGTTTTCTGTTTATTGGCAGTTGTTTGATTACTTTTGTTTTTGTTTTCTAGTTAGTGGGACGCTGCCTTGGTCTGTTTTGTTTGTTTTGCTTTAAATTGTGAGGCCGATCTTAGTGCACGGTCTGAACTCCTCCTGCCCGCTAAACCAGCTGTCACTGGTTGCTCCACACAGTTGGATTTGTACTAATAAAAAATTTATATTTGTATAACACTGCTTCCTGTGTGTACGTGCCTTTACGGTGTTTTGAACCGGATTTCTGTGGTAACGGGGTGCTACAGTATTTAAATACAATTAAAATGTGATTTATGTATCGAGTATTAATCGTGTGCTTTAATAAATATAAATATATTTTAAAAACAATCTATACGTAAATGAAATATAAAAATATGTCTATATATTTATTCATTACTTCTATTACTCGTTCATATCTGTCCTATATTTTAACTTTCTTTTAAACTTTGTCTTTGCTTTATTTTTTAAATACATAATTATTTGAGGGGAGCCTGAAATCCAAGATTTCTAATACCAGACTGCTTCAATGTAACTATTGATAAAGAACTTGAAAAAAGACCCATGTTGCTTCACAGAAGAGTTTATGATCTAATTAATATACATTTACAATAAATGACACCAGATCAAAGTCAATAACTTTATTAGAAAAATAGGTTTACCTTACCTCACTGTACAGTATAAAACAATTCATTTGCAAGAATGCAAACACTTGTTAGCAAAAAAATTATATATATATATATATATATATATATACACACATATATATATATATATAATTCTTGACCCTTAGAATTGGTGATCCAACAGTCAATACTAGAATGAGAAATAATCCGACTCTTTAAACAGAAGAGCTTAAAGGAGAAATCCAAACCTCAGACGCTGTTCCATCATTAAAACCAAACATCCAATAAAGTTACGTTGATCAACTCAAACTGCTTCATTGTGTTTTTCCTACAATTCCCAGAATGCCACAGGCTAAAAGGGAGTGTGTGCGTGTGTGTGCGCGTGTGTGTGGGGGGGGTTGGGGGTGGGGGGGGGGGGGGGGGGGCAGAAAGTATTACAAAACAAACCAACACATCGTTTGGTTGGTTTTGGTCTCTTCGTGGGATCTGTTAATGTAGAACTGATCACTTATAATTTATATTAACTTGTTTAATATTCAGTGAATTTTAACTGATTTCTATTTGCTAAAACAGAAAGAAGCCGTCGCTGAGATCTAATCACTTGTGTGTCGCGGTTTCTCGTTATTTTCCCTAAAAGCTCAAATGTAGTCGGATGGATTTGCTCCTTTAAAAGTCTAAAACATTTCTTTGATTTCCAGTCTGCTGTGTACACCGATAGTGAAGAGACATGAATTAACACCAGCTACTCTTTACACTTGTCACGACCACACTTATGTCATGATAACAATGTGAAATGTAGAACCATGCTTTTTAAGATGAAAACTTTTTCCACGTTTAGTTTGGATTCCTAAACTTCTCTGGAACAGGAAGTAAATGAATTTTCTTCCAGACCTGCTTAAGAGCCTAAATAAAATAAAATAAAATAAAGAGGACATCACAGATGTTTGTGCAGAGCAGACAGACTGAGACATCAAACATCTTTACATCGATGGTTACAAACAAAAGAAAGACAGTTTCCCATCGTGGAAGACAAAAGAGATGTCCAGGCATTAAAAATAACAATCTGTAAACTACATCATCGCTCAGTTCATGTATCAAGACACTACGACGGCGTATCGGGCCCATTGTAGGTACAATAAAGAATAATCAAAATACAATGACAGAGCCGGAGGGAGGGGGGTGATATTTAGAGAGAAGAAACTGAGTTTACTAGATTTAAATAGAAATACTTTGATATTCTCTGTGAATAAAGTGGCTGATTTACAACAAATAAAAACACATTTATGAGGGAATAAAACTGAACTTACTCGAGGTTGATCCAACTTTGTAAAATGAAGTAATGAGGTTCCTTTTCTGTTGTAAGTTCTAGACTTTATCTGGGAGAGTTTCTTGTAAATTCACAACTCAAAGTTTCTCTCCTCTCAGTTTTAACACCCTCTTCCGGCTCCGTAACGATATATATCTGGACCGTCATACGCCGTCGTGAGGCTAACAGCTGCAGCTACGTCTCCGCTGAGAGCTGAAATCCATTAAGTGCTCCGTTGATGTTGCCTGTGAGACTCAAGTACAATAAATGTGGACAGATCAGGCGAGTCCTTACAACTGAGGTAGTTAACGGACCCGGGGTGGTTCGGGTTCTACAAAGAACCCAAATCTCCTGGAACGCCCGACCCTTCAACATCTCTGATGATCACAGATCACGTCTCGTCCATCGTGTAGTTTAAGAGATCAATCCAAAACTTTAAAAAGTGCAAAGACTTTTCCGGAAGGATGTCGATCATGAACTCAGGAAGACTCAAATGGCAGGGGGGGGGGGGTTATAAATTTAACAACAAATAAAAACAGCAAGCTCAAGATTTCCTCTGATTATCTTCTAACATGGCAGTTTTTTCAGGAAATCTGCTCCTTAATTACAAACAAAAAAGGCTGGAATACCATTGGACCACTGAGTCAGGTGACCTTACCATTCCATCCACTTGGCAGCCGGCAGAGTGTCGACGGAGTCGGTCCTCATAGCGACGCGTCAGGACCGGCCTCGACCCCTTTGTCCTGCTAGTCAGGTAACAAAAGGAAGCAGTTAGACAATGGAAACAGCATCATGTCACATCTCCACACACACATCTACGGTTTAGAGTCACGCACGCACGCACGCACACCTCAGATTTTAAACATGCACATCTTTAAAAGAGGACTAATAACATAATCAGCCTGGTTTGGATGCTAAATTAAATTGAGGTGCAGCAGGTGAAAAAGAGACGATCGGCCAAGCAGAGAGAAAAGAGGCGGGGGGGCGCATTAAGAAAGCAGCCAAGAAATATCTAAAAATATATGAGAAGCGAGTCATGCATGGCAGTTCTCTCTCTCTCACAACAATCCTCCACATAAACATGCAAGATTAGTATCCAGGCCTTCAGCAGCCAGGTAGATCCTCCTGGGACAAGCTTCACTTTTCACGTTCATAATTAATCAAATTGTGCTTTTTTTAAATAGTCCTGCCCCCCGACTCGTAAACAGCGTGCA